GAAGAAGTAGTGAACTGCTAGAAGTGAGTCAAGTAAATTCCACAATGACTCTCCAACTGCAGACCAACATACAGTATTTACTACTGTATTTATTTGAATGGGGACATACCCATCATCATTCGTAGGTATGCCACAACAATTATGTAAGCAGCCATCGGCGAATTAATGTCCAGCGGTCTTTAAATGCCATGTCCCTTCAGTACATAGGCGGTCATAGCTCTCTACAGCTACCATTGTTATTATTATCTTTGAATTAACACAACCTCTTGAGGGAGACAGGGCAGTGGTCTTCAGTTGTCCTCTCCGCGGTTTTAGATTAAGAGAGTTCATTCACACATATTGGTGACCATTCAAGTCTAGAGAGCACAGTCTGTCCTGCTACTTGTCAACCCATAACTAGGAGGTTAAAAGACATAGATTTGTGCCTTTTCTAAGGGCATGAGTATAAAATTGGTTGTAGTAGACTATAGACTAAGTCGGAATTTGAACTCGGTCCGTTGCTTCCAAATTAAGCGCTGATAACCGTTGCATTACTCGTATGCGCCACTGGTTAGAAACACAGGTGCGAAATGAATGAACGAGCGAAATGAAAAGAAACGGAATGAAAATAACACACACACGCACACACACACAAATATATATATATATATATATATATATATATATATATATATATATATATATGTGAAAAAGAGCGAGAGAAGCGAAAGAGTGAGGGCGATAGATGAAAGAAATGCCCTGAGCAAACAACGCTGTTAATTCTCAATGTTATTTACATAGGCACGGTAAATTAGAGTTCGTTCCGCCTACCAGTTTTTTTAGCACCTCATCCGGTGGGGGCGACAGTCAGAAGCATTAGCTGACGAAAACATAACCGGTCGCCGGACCCGCCCATGCGTCTCCAGCGGTCATCTGAAACGAGCGAAATTTTAAGGGCGTACAAATTAGATATTTGAAATACGCTCTGAGACCAACAGGAGACGCCAGAGAGGAGCCTTGGAAACGGTTCAAAGGACGTCGATCGAGACCAATATATAGGTGGGCAGATGTGCGCAAACTTGGACCGATGTTAAAACATACATACATACACATATACCTACATACATATATGTGCGTTTGTCTGTGTATGTATATATAGGTCTATGTGTATTTTCTTATATATATGCTTGCATGTGAATGTATTAAGCAGAAAAATACAGACAGGGTGAAAATAATGAGTTTACAGACACGAGTCGGCAGTAGACCTGAACAGAAAATTAGATACAGGCCAAGCATATACACACATACATATATACATAGAATATCCAAAATCACATACACACACGCGTACACATACATTATTATATATATATATATATATATATATATATATATATATATATATTAAGGCATGTCTCATTAAATAATTTAGACAAGTTTTGTCTAGTTATTATTAATAGGATTCTCTCATAATTACTGACAAGATTCTTGGTATCCTTTTTAAAGGCAGAAAGAAAATTCCCATATTGATGCATATTCATTTTATTCCGAGTACTTTCGACATTAGCACAATGTCATCATCAGTTTTTAGACAAATAAATTATTGTTTTCATCATTTTTCTAAAACATCTGAGAAATACTTTTTTACGTGTGAAGTGCAAAGAGCTAAGATTATGTAGTGTACATTTTTTTTAATTTTATCATGTAGACACACATCTAAACGTCAAGGGAGGTAACTAAGTTATTAAAATGTCTAAGACCAAAGATATTTAAACTATCTACTGTAAACATTTTAAAACATTTTGCAGTATTCATAATTAATTTTATTAAGGGTTGGTTTCCATTTTTTAATATACATTTTTAGTTGATGTTTATTATTTTCATCAAAAAGTCATAGATGTATTTTCAATATTTTATATATATATATATATATATATATAGATAGATAGATAGATAGATAGATAGATAGACTCCTGAAAAATTAATTTCGGTTGAGCTCTCTGTGGGAGGAAGTGTGGGTTTGTAAACAGTGACCTATTACGGCTATTATAGCAAAACTCTTCGGTAAAGCGAATCGAGTCCTCTCAGTCACTGTGATTTTATCTAAAAATGAATACAGTGTAACCCGGATATAAGAGACCCGGATATAAGAGAAACCCGTATATAAAAGAGATTTTCTCTGGTCCCAAATTAGAGCCCATACTTACCTAAACAAAATGGACCAAACCCGGATATAAGAGAAACCCGGATATAAGAGACTTCTCCGGTCCCGACAACTCTCTTATATCCGGGTTACACTGTACGCTAAAATTCACCTTCATCACCGCCGGGCGCCAACAGCTTAATGATAAAATCTCCGACTGACGCTAATTCCGCCGGGTTTCGATCCTAGCTATAGGCAACCGAACCTCTAGCCACATTGAAGAGCTGTGACTATAGCGAAACAGTCGGTCTGTGAATGGCTATATATATATATATATATATATATATAAAAGTTTGGTTGAATACCAGTTTATTCATTATGTTTGTTTTTTTTTTAATTTTTTTCGTTATGTCGGGACATTTTCTTGGCTTACAGTGAAAGGTTCATTGTTTTTTTTTTTGGTTTTTTTTTCTAATTTTTGTTTCGCGTTTCGTCTTTCGAAAGATTTATTGAGGCTAATTAATACATGTAGCGGAAGGAGCGAAATAATTCAGCCATCTGTTATACATGGAGAGAAGCGTTGGAGATGCATGGACGTTTAGTAAAGAAAATATGTGATACATACTGAAAAATGGGTATGCAAATGGCGTCAAGGATAGCGAATCAGAAATCAGGGAGTCGAATCAAAATGCGTCAGCTTCGTCACATTGACTTACGTGCAAGCACAATAGGGAAAGGTATGAACCTAGATATAGGTGAAACCAGTGATTTCCAACCGATTTGGGGCTATGCCCCTCTTTGGTATTTTTAAAATTCTTGGGGTCTCCTGTAATATTTAATTCTTTCATATTCAAAATTTTAATCCAATTCATGTGAAAGAAGCTTAAAAGGATATTAACTTGGTTTCTAAACAAGCTCCAACAACCATGGCGTCCATGAAAGAGAAAATTTTTTAAAAAACGACAGTTAAATATATATATAGTTTCAAAACATATAATAGAGAACTGAAAGGCAGAAATATAAAATATTTGAATGGAAACTTATTCTATAATATACTTTGATCATTTTAATCATGAAATAATAATGCAAAATGAAATTTGAGTTCATCACAAATGTCTTAGTGAGATCCTTGTACGTTATGCCTGCTACAGATAGATTTTAATATTAGGCACCAATTTCGTAAGCGTCAGCTTCAAGCCTCCTCGTTTAGTGATATCCAGTCGATTTATTTTCTTCAATAACAAATCATTTACAGCACTAAAGCCACATTCAACTAAATATGAATATGGAAATGGTAACAAGAAATTAATGTTAATAACTGTTAATAAGTCATTCTCGAATTGCCCCCCTTATTCTGTTGGCATAGTAAACAGAAGGTTGCACATCCTACGTTAAGCCCCACTAAAATGTTACCATGCCCCACCGCTGGGGCATGCGTACCACGCTGGGATTCATTCGGTTAAACCATAGGATTTGTATCTGGAAAAATCATTGTAATTCCTCCAAAACATTAAAATGCAATATTAACTCATAAAATATATTACAGTCCAAAGAATATATTTCGGCTTTAAATAAGATTCAAAGGGTCGATAAACCGTAAATAAATAATTCAAATCAAATTATACATACTTAACAAGTAGTAAGTGAATGGAATGGTAGGCCTGTTGATCTGTTCGGATTCTGGAGTAAGAATGACTTATTTTTAATGAGACAACGATTACTTATCTCGGTATAACATCATACATGAATTGTTTTGCGTGTTTAGCGAATTTAGATAAAACAGAAATGGTGTCTGGAAATAATTCTAGAAATCTGTTACAGAATTTAAATGAGGAACTACTTTTATTAATCATTCTTTTAGAAAAGGCTAGTAGCAGCGACATGAAATTTATATATATATATATATATATATATATATATATATATATATATATATATGTATGTATGTATGTAAAATGAGTTGAATTGTATGGATATGAGGTTGTGACCCTGGGTTTCATGATTTTGTGACCATCAGACAAAGTCAAATGAGTTTTTCTGATGATCGTAAAATATATATATATATATATATATATATATATATATATATATATATATATATATATATATATATATATTAGATGAGTGTTTTTGAATAAACAAATGCATCAATATTAACTTGATTTAACATTATTCTTCTTTGTAACATTTTTGGGGTATTTTGCTAAAGCTTCTATCAACAAAAATAGAACAAAGTACTGACAAATTTACTTAAAATGGACGGATCTTTTTTACACCGCCATGAACGAAGCGAGCGTAGCTAAGTGAATTCTTTTCAATAGGGCGGCTTGAGGGTTCCAATGACCGTTTAGAACGTGTTTCCTAACAGTTAAAACTTTCTTTGATGAAATTAACCTAAATCAGCCAGAAGTGCTTTGCCAATGAAAACTTCCGAAATTCTTGTAAAGTTTTCGATCGAAAATTTCCAGTGGGGAAGTAGTTCACTCTTAGAAATTCCAACTTCCATCAGTCATATTAAAAAAATAATATTGGATTGCCGATAAAGTGAAAATACTTTATTCTTTATACAATTTGAAATTACCTCTTAATTAAGACAAACATTTTTTTATTATTATTTTCTTACGTTTTATCAACTTTTGTAGGTTATTTAAAGCCAGGTAATATTTATAGATTGTAAGAAATATTTGAAGATAATAATGACTTGCTCATACAAGTCCTACTAATTAATTCATAGCTAGGGGGAGAATAGATGAATTCATACCTTTCCCATGGATTTTATTGGGCGTATATGGATATAATGAACTCGAGTGGAACTGGAATTCGGGTTTCCAGTTTCTTATTCCGAGCCGTTATCCACTACATCAACGTAACATCCAAACTTGCGACACACGGTATTCCCAAGCCGACACCGATCTAGGTACTGACCAGGTCGACGTTGCTTAACTTCGATGATCGTACTAGAACCGGTGTTTCAACGTAATATGGTTGTAAAGTCATTAAATATAATATGATAAAAATGACCCCTCTTTATCACTTTCACTGCTGAATTTTTAAAGCATTGTCCTCTGGCTATGCTGGTCCCTTCTGGAAAAATAGGAAATTGCCTTTTACTGGAAGTAAATCACTATAAAGACCATGGCGCCAATTTTCCATTGATCCATCATTTTCATTTCGATAAACTACATACAACACACAATATAATAAAATAATTCACAAAACCAGTATTTTATACTATGCATATCTGCTAACGTGAGAATAGCATTAAACGATAGATAGTTTATAATAGAAAGGCTAGTGACCTACATTTCATGGTGTCTTGACAATGTATATATATATATATGTTGGCAGGAGGCAATATAAATTTTGTAAAACTACCTCCGACTTTATTATAAGCATATATAAAATGGAAATTAAATGAAGGGGGGCCTTTAGTGATTTTTTTGATGGACAATCGGTCTATTAGAACAACAATTTAAAGAGAGTAAAATTTAATTAGAAATTAGACAAACCAAATATATAAAATTTTTATGATCTTCAGTGTGACATGTCACTTTAGAACGTAGACAATCAAGTTTCTTCACACCTTGTGTCCTTTGTAACCTTAAGTAAATTTTGTCTTTTCTCTATCTCTGCTAATCCCTGTTCTGCAAACAATTTTAACAAGCTAGTTAGGTAGGTTATACGCTATTTTACTGCTTGCCGTCAATATGTCCTGTGAGTGTTAAATTTTCTAAACCCTCTTTCCTCATTACATGTTGAATACAAATTCAACTGTTCCCGATGTTATATATGTGTTCTTTTTGTTATCATTTTCTCTAAAACTTTCTCGTTGCTCACATATTCAGTCCATGGTATTCTCACCAGCTTTCTCTAGAATAGCATTGCTGTCAACTCATGTCTCTTCAAGTCTGTAAGGAGATTGTCTAGTATACTCTGCCACACAGCAGGACAGATATTACATAACAGTTACATAACAGTTAAGTACACATTTTTAAAATTTTGTTGTTGAGATTTTCCTGTTTCTTAATACTTTTCTTCGCTTTTGAAAGGCATCTTTCACTATCCAAATGCGTCTTTCGATTTTAGTGGCACATCTTCCGACCTCTGATAAAAAATTACCCAGATATTTAAATTTTTGCTTGATTTTGGTATCTCCGATTTGTAATTCGGATATTCGCTTCTTTTTTTTTTTTTTTTTTGATGACAGCCATACTTCCTGTCTTCTTACCATTTTCTTCTCGCTCTCCTTTACTCGCCTCTGTGTCCGCTATCAACAATGTATCGTCTGCATATCTAATGTTGTTAAGATTGTGGCCGCCAATAATAAATGCCAGTATGAATTCTAATTCTCTCAGAATTACCTTAATGCAAAGATAGACTATATCTAGTGAGAAAATATCCCTTATCTTACACCCCTTCCAATTTTTCTATATTTACAGAATACATTTTCTATCCAGATGCAGGCAATTTATACACAGTATAAGTTCTGGATTATTCCCGTATCCTTTCCAAATAAAACAAACTTGCTTAACATTTCTAACTGTTCTTTCTGACTTACTTTATCAAACGCATAATCTATCAAACAATTGATGAGCCCCACGTTAGTATATATTCAAGAAACGTCATCGTGTGTAATGTCTATTTTAAACAAAAGTGTTTTTAGTAATGACTTTTCTCCCTGATTAATATTGTGTTATTAAGCCTGCATAAATGTTAATATCAAATATTTTTGAAATTTGAAAACTGCTGTCACCGTAGAACTCTCATTTCTTCCCAATAAAAGAAATTAGAAACTTTTATGCACATCTAATATTGCAAAACACTGCCTTGTTAATTTCTATTATGGGACACTGTAAATGGGACACCCACACAGAAGAGTGGGTGTGATCAATTTGATCCTTGTTATGCGCTTTGTGTATTATGGCTAGTGATAAGGTTTTTACGATGGTTATCTTAAATGCAGCCGCCCACTTGACCACAAATGAATAAAATAATGGACGAGTAAAAAAAAAAAAAAAAAAAAGGATTAAGTGACGACAAAACGGACGTTGGTGATTTCCGAGTGTTGAACCTTGAAGTAGTGACAGGCTTACCGAGTTCCGGTTCCGCCCATTAAAGATACCAGTCATAATAGTCAGATGTCTCGCTAGATGAAGAGTAAAGCTGATCTGTTAATATGAGATGTCAGTGGGATCAGAAATTGTCAGTGATATCACCAACCTACGTACCCACTCCTGCAAGGGAATTGTTGAATAAACAAGGAAATATTTTAGAGATATATTTCTAGTCGGAGTGGCGTTTGCGTGTGCAACGGACTTTCTATATAGTTTATGGTCCATTTTAAAACAAACTAGAATGGGGATGCAACATGGGAGGAGTCGCCATTTTCCGACTGATGAAATGCTGATAGATCATCCTATTGTATTTTTTCAATATGCGAAATTGAATAAAAATGGAAATTTTTACACTTAGGTACCTGTCGGAGTTAACGCCTCCTTAATTTCCTAATTGTCCAAATTGTTCCTAGGTGGCGCTATCCCTAAACTATAAATAGTCGAGAATACTTCGTTCTCTCCCTCTTGCGTTGGACACTGCGACCATTTAAAGCGCTTGCAGAAGATACGCGTTTCCTACTTGTGGGAAGACGCATTGAACTTTACACACACACACACACACACACACACACACATACGTACGTATCAACATACTTTGAAACAGGAACTGTCTCCGTTCATACATACACACACAAATTATGTCTGTTGTAAACGCACTAATTATGCCTATTGTAAACACATATTTGTTTGTACATGTATATCGGTTTCTTGTTTTTCTGTTACATTTTCTTTTTGGCAGACACATTCTACGAGTCTGCCATATTTGTAGTGGACTTTATTTCAGGAGTTCTACACGTGTTCATATCACAACGCGTATAAAAAAAACCCACGGCCTGCTACATGCTTAATACAAAGTGAGGTTTGTGGAAGGCGAATTTTTCTCAGTATTTAATAAATGTCTGTCTTAATACAATGCTAATAGTGAGAGAAGCTGTTCATTTAAAATAAAACATTAGTATTCATTGACCGAAAAGGTAACATTACTGCGTGTTGAAATTTATTAATTTTCATTTAAAAACAATTTTTTAGGAAAATATTTGTCTCAAGTTCACTAGCTGTTATCGTTCTTTCTAGAAATAATGTAGGGGGTGTTATTATTAACCTTTAAGAAGGTGTATCAGAAAATCATTTATAGGGGGTTAAGAAGTGCGAAATAAGTAAACAGGTAGATCTTCATAATTCTTCAAATTTCTTGAAAAAAGTTAACATTTGTCCCGTCTATTAGGCAGCTATTTCAATCAAGGAAGCAATGAAAAAATTATCATTAAAAAGGTAACAGTTCGGGTGGCCTAATATGACCATGTATAAAAATGTTTGCTTTAAGAGCTTGTTCGATTGAATGATTGCCAGGAAACTTTGGACATTCATTGACCAAATAGTTTACGCTATTGTCGGCTGAATTTTTTTTTCTTCTTCAGGCAAAGAAACTTCTCCAGGCCACTGACTACTATCGTTCTTTCTATTATTGATGATTTAAGGTGGTGAGAAAAGACATCTTGTTTTTACAATTATTTTCCCTTATGTGCAATGCTTTTTATTTGTTGCCGATGTTGGAAGTCTACATATGACGTGTTTTTTTTTGTTATTTGGTAAAGCTCTTTGTTATTCTATAGCGCCAGTCTGACGAATTGTTGTTTTCTTTAGAACCTGGAGGATTCATTTGCTTGAAACTTATTTACAGATAACCACGGCTATTAGGTAGATGTGATTAAATATAATTTAATGTTTAAAACATATTCAGTATTATTATTGTTTATGTAATAAACAATATAACATAGCAGAAATAGTTATATTGTGGGAAAATGAATTTTCCACAATATACACATTTTTTATGTATTTATGGTTATTTTTTAACTTTTATCGAAAACAGCATTCTTGTACATGTAGTTATTATATATTAATTACTATTTTTTTAATTAATAACTATTTGTTCCCAGTTGTTGACATTAATATCTATCTGTTGATGTGTTAAAATTTTGGAATAATGCAGTAATAAAAAATTTAAATTTCATCTCTCTGATAGGCGATCTGTTAAAACTGTTACATATAGCAGATAATTTTGAAGAAAACGGTTACATATAGCAGATAATTTTGACAAATAAACAAATATGACTCCCAGCATAAAATTCATACAGGAGTTTAGAGGATATTTAATATCATGACTCTCTTTCTCAGGTTAATATTTTGTAGCATTTTGCGGTGCCGTTGCTTAATTGATTTCTATATATGTTGTGGTAAACCCTCCTACAGTAGAATGAACTCTTCCTCCTCTCATAAATACTAACTGCGAGAGTCGGTTGAAGGGAATAAGTTAGACGCAGTGCTAACCTACCGTTCGGACCGACACCGCTATCTACTTATTACTAACACTCTGGCTTTGTATATATATATATTCAATATACTTGTTCAACCTATCTTCGTCTTCCGTGTCTTTCTTTCTGGCTCCTAAACAGACCACAACAATTTGGCGTCGATGATTCGCACTTCACGGGGACTCAAAAAAATTGCCGTTGCCAGTGTTCACAACAATATAGTCCATTTTCAAGAATCTCACCTGGTGAAAACCATTCTGAGATTTCCTTGTTACTTTTGTATTTCCTTAGTCAAGTCGGATACAAACGACTAAACTGTCTGTACAGTCTCAGAAGGACTTCAAGATACATTTGTTGCCATCTTTAACATTTTTTCTTAATCAATTCACCCGAAGCAAGGCGATAACGCCACTAAGATGCAAGAGTGAAAGGGAATGAGAAAACTTTAAAAGGCTAAGCCTAAACAATAAATAACCGATAAAACTCGACTCCTGTTCAAAAGACCAGGCAAGGGTCTGAACCGGATGATAGGCAAACCAATCTACTCCTATTGAATAAAAAAT